GGGGGGGAAGGGCTGAAGACCCCTCCCCTCTCCCACCACTGGTACCAGGCGGCCTCGACGTAGCGGGGGCTGTACCGGGGGGGCAGCGGCACGGCCGTGGCTGCGTCCCCAAATGTCACCTCAGGGGGTGGCAGGACCACCACCCCCAAAATCCACCCAAAAACCCCCAAAATCCACCCAAAAATCCACCCCAAATCCCCCAAACCCACCCAAATCCCCCCAGACTGGGGCTGTACCGGGGGGGCAGCGGCACGGCCGTGGCTGTGTCCCCAAATGTCACCTCAGGGGGGTGGCAGGACCACCACCCCCAAAATCCCCAAAAATCCACCCAAAACCCCCCAAATTTCCCCCCCAAACCCCCGTACCCTTTTTGCCGTCGGGCCCCAGCGGGTGCCGGTATTCCACCTCCTCCTTGGGGCTCCAGCCCTTGGGGAGACCCTGCGGCTCCTGTGGGACCAGTACGGACCAGTATAGACCAGTATAAACCAAAATGAACCAACAAAAACCAACACAAACCAATATAAACCAACACAGTACACTAGGAACTGCTAGAAACCAGTCTGGACCAATATAAACCAGTACAAGCCAGTGGTTGGCACAGCAGAAACCCGAACCAGTGTTCCCAGCTCCCATCTCAGTGTCCCCAGTCCCTCTCCCAGTCCCCCCCAGTCCCATCCCAGTCCCTCGCCCAATATCTCCCAGTCCCTCTCCCAGTATCTCCCAGTCCCTCTCCTAGTGTCCCCAGTCCCTCTCCCAGTATCTCCCAGTCCCCCTCCCAGTATCTCCCAGTGTCCCCAGTCCCTCTCCCAGTGCCCCCAGTCCCTCTCCCAGTATTTCCCAGTCCCATCCCAGTGCCCCCAGTCCCTCTCCCAGTATTTCCCAGTCCCATCCCAGTGCCCCCAGTCCCTCTCCCAATATCTCCCAGTCCCTCCCAGTCCCTCCCAGTCCCTCCCATTCCCCCATTCCCCCGTTCCCCCTCACCTCCCCCGCCCCGCCCCTGCCGCGCTCCCTCCTCAGCCGCTGCCGCCGCTCCCGCTGCTCGCGGCCGCGCAGCCGCGCCAGCTCGGCGCTGTCCCAGCCCGGGGCAGGCGGGGGGGTCCCGGCCGGGCTCCCCGCGCTGCTCCAGGCCCGGCGGGGCCGAGCCCGGAGCCCCCCGGGACCCCCCAAAACCCGGGGGGCGCCGAGGGCGGCGCGGCTGAGGGAGGGCGCCGCCATCTTGGGGCGGAAAGGGCGGGAACGGCGTCACGTGACCGGAAAA